TTAGAAGGAAATTCTGTGAATTTACAATTCATACCATTTTACAATAATCTTTTTATTACAAGACTATTATACTTATTTATAGAATGTTTGGAGAATACAGAGAAAAGGGCAAAGAGAAAAAATTCATTGTTCTACCACCCAAACAAACCTGATCTTATTATCTGGGTGAATTTCTCTCCTGCCCTTTAATTCATAGGATTCAAAAGAAAACAACGTAAATGTAGTCATTCGTACATGACAATTTTTGTATCCTGCCTTTTTTACTTAACATTGCATTGTAAGCATTTTTGCCTATTCCTACTTTCTCTTCCTGAACATTACATTATATTCAGTGGCTGCACAGTAGTCTGCCAAGAAGGTAGGTTATGGCTTAAAATCGCCTTCTGGATTTCTTTCTGCATTCACCTGGGGGAGGGAGAGGAAGGAAAGATGGCCAGGAAGAGCTTTTCCTGTTCAGGATTTCAAGAAAGCATCTCCAGGTCTGGCTTGACACTTGGTTATCGTTCTGTGTGCCCTTCTAATCCTGACCTTCAAGCCAGCATAAAAGAACCTAGCCCCTTAGTAGGAGCTGGCAGCTCTGCCTCCAGCAGAGCAGAGGCCCTTTAATTTGAAATGAAAATGACTCTTCTATCCACGGAGAGAGACTGGAGTTAAAATCTAACCATTGTAACTGCAGGACAGAAAATCCTTAAGCCTGCTTCTTCAAACGTAGCACCTAGAAATGGTACTGATTACAGAGTACTTGTCGGTAAGAGGGAAGAGTTATGAAGGGATAACTTTGCTTGGTAGGAGCTGCCTTGCCGCTGTCAAGGCACACGCTTTCCACTTGGAATTATGTATGAACTAGTGTGGCAGATTATTAGGCTGCCTTGAGGAGGAGGCCCTGTGTAGTCAGCTGGGGGGCATAACCAGCTACTCTTTGGGGGCCAGTTTAAATTCACCTTCATTACCTTCAAGAGGTTTTGATCGTGGTCAGCCCAGAGGAAGTGGATGGGATGAAACCTGGAGGGACTGGGGGAGACCTGGTGGCTTGGCTGCCATCCCCCATTCTGCTTGGCTTCGCTAGAGGCCGTGGGCTGGATGCCAGGGTGGAGCACTAAAGCGTGAGGTCAGAGGGGGAGGGGGCAGCCTGTGGAGCTAGACCATCCCTCCGCCCCTCCCCCGCCCAGTCATTCACTAGGCTACCAGCAGAGCAAAGCAACTCCTGGTTACTGGCTGGCAGGGTTGTCCCGCAGCTTCAAGCACGAGTGATGACAAGAGGGATCGAATGGCAGGCTCCTATTGGCACAGAGGTATTTGAGTATTTCATGGGTTTGGATTTGAAAATTAGTTGAAAGGTGAAATATGTGTTTGTGGTACTGTCAGCTCCAGTCATCTCAAAACCTCCAGAGCTTTGAGAATGGCCCCCTCCACCCTCCGAACTGTAGAAGTCTCTTTTCCTTGATTATTCCTCCACCTGTACTCTCACTTGTGCCCAAGATAGTTGGCACTGCCTGCCCTCACCTCCATTTCCTGAGGGCAGCACCAACAATTCTCACAGCTGCCCTTTCTCACCCCTTTTTTGTGGTTTATCTGCCTCCTAACAGGTCTCCTACCCCATTCCTAGTCCTTACCCCAAAACACCACTGGCTCAGCCATCCCCAAACAATACTTACAACCTCTTACTACCTTGCTCTGACAACTTCAATATTCTCTGTTACCTACTGGATAAAATCCAAACTCCTTATTCAGTCATCCAAGGCCTTCCAGAATCCATCCCTAGCTTCCTTCTTCTCTGCAGCTAGACTTTATCAGGCACTTTCTACAGAGCAGGCACCGTTGCAACTTCTTCAGTGTAAATTTCTTGTTTCATCCAGACCTCTCTTTTGCTGGCCTTCAAACACACCTCACCCATTCCTCTACCTACTCTTGTTCGTAAGCTTTGTTTCCTGTCTAGAATGCTCTTGTCTCTCTACACAGTCAGCTCAAGTCCTCCATGAAACTGCCCAGCCCATACCAGCTCACAGAGATCTCTTTCCCGAAATCTTCAAACTCTTGCAGTTGGATTCTCTCATCAACATTATAAACTTTCTTGTACGGTGACTTAATTTTTCAAGTGTATTTTTCTTCAAAACGGATAACCATCTAGATGGCAGGGACCAGCCTGAGACTTTGCAGTGCCAAAGCATCCTTCTCTGCTCGGATCAGGTCTTCAGTGTTTGGTAAATGAATGTTGAAATGCCGCATGAATCTTCTGCTACAGAGCTGAATAGGAGGCTTACCCTCTGGAACCTGTGTAAAAGCCAATTCAGCAACCTCTGAATTCACATTTTTAAGTAATTGGGTACGGAATTAGTCCTATTTCTGAATCCCCAGTGGTAAGCAGAGATAAACGTGAGCTTTATTGTATCAGACCCTTAAGGATTCCCCTACCCATCTCCCCCTGAAGAGATGAATGCAAATAGGTCACGGCAAAGTGGATGTTAATTACAGGCAAATCCTGCCGGGCCACAAAGGTAAAGACTCTCCAAGCTGCCTGATAACACCAGGTTGCTGGCCCTGCAGACCAGAAAAAGATAATTTGCTCCCCGGGGGAAGCCATTTAGGGGGCCAAGGCAATTGATATGGGCAGAGTGTTGACTGTTCTCATAATGTTGCATCTGGACCTGCCGTTCATTTCGGAGGTTTTAACTGACTAGTGAGGTTGTGCTGTACCAGCGCAACCCTGGAACCAGCTGCGTGAGACAGGCACTAAGCCTGTGGGACAAATTTGGAGCCTTAGAAATTAACTAGGCATGAGATGATCCTGGAGCAGCCCCAGGAAACTTGCACCCAAGATGTCATGTTGCTGTGTTGCTGAGGGCAGACGGGACCTTTCCAAACTGGCTGTTCCGTTCCTAAAGCGTCTGAACAGGTCACTTGCAAGTAGCCAGTTGGTTGGATCTGACTCACAGACACATTTGGCCTGGACTGTGGAGTGTTTTTTAACGTTTGAATTAGTAGCTAACACTTTAATATGAGGAGATTTCACGTAAAAATCTGGATTTCTGGCTTCTCAACAACAGAGCACCTGGCCACGCTGGGCCCTCCCTCTCAAAGGGACATCGCCTTTAAATGGGACCTTGGCTCCCCACCAGGCCGATGCACTCATCTTTGTTGCCGCCCAGCCCCTGCTTGTTTCCCCTGTTCTAAAATTTTGCAGATGGCAAATTTGGGTGGGAGGTAGAATCAGATAGCTCCTCCAGTCTCTGGCAACTCCAGGCTCTGTGATGCTCCTGGATGTAGAGGCGGTGGCCTAGAGCTCAAGGAGTCCGTAATGCAATTGAGACAAGGCATTTTTCATGAACACTGATCTCTAAACTTCCTGTCGCCAAGTGTCACATCCTGGAGGGATAGGCATGTAGAATCCATAGCATTGGCAAGCAGATGCCATTCTCTGGTTGAAGTTGGCTGCAGTTAACCTTTACTGAGCACTTACTCTCAGTCAGTCGCTCCAGTCCTTGTGACATCCATGTCAAGTAGATACTCAATCCCATTTCTGGGATGAAGACACTGAGGTTAGTGCCACACGGCTAGGGGCAGAACTGACTCCAGAGTCCTCCTCTTAACCAAGGGCTTCTCTCTCCACCTGTGCATTGTTTGCTCTTATTAGGGCCCATCTGAGGTTCAAAACACATTCCCATTGCGAATACTAGTTTTAAAAAGCACACAAAGAATGTTTAAACCATGTAGCATATTAGCGATGATTTTCTCAAGCAAAAGCCAGAAGTGATTTGGTTTATGTAACACAAGATGCGGGGCGGGTGGGGGGGCAGCGGTGGAGGAGGTGTGCCAGGGGTCTGCTTGCCTGGGCGACTGAGGGGTGAGCTCTGTGGCCCAGAGTGAGTCAGGGTGAGCCCCTAAGACTTCTGAGAGGAGCAGCTTACAGATTGCAACTCAGGTTCCTATAAATTTGTTTCAGCTTGGAAAAAGTGATGGAAATTGTCCCAGGTGTATCTGGAAGATATGTAAATTCATTTTTTATTAGTCTTCAATTATAATACCTCCAAGATTTTCTGAGATTTAGAAACCCAGCGTATTCAGCTCGTTCTGAACTAACTTCCTCTGATAAGAACTCCCCACCTCCCCCCAACCCCATGCGACCTCACCTCACCCAAGTCTAGCACCAGCTTTTGGGAGCTTGGAAGCCTCTGGCGATGAGATCAGTTGGGAATTTAGGAGGTCATGGATGTCGGAAATAAAGGTGTAAAAAGGAGAGGAGAGTTGGTTTTGGCTTTAGGACACTGGAACTTACAAGGTTCTTGCAAAACCATTGCAGCTTTTGAAAAAGCGTTAAAGTCAATCAGCGCCCCACTGCGGGATTCAAAGCTAAGCTTGTCACAATTTCACAATTGTTAACACCTTTGACCAGTCTTTTTGTATTTAACAAGTATTCTCTTCTACTCCTTTTTTTTTTTTTTTTTTTTTTGCCGGCAGGAAGGTTCTGGGGTCTGGGCTTTAGGGAGTACCCTATACAGCGCACAGTCCCTCCGCGTGCTGCAGTCGAGGGATTTCTACCCGCTCCCCCGCTTTGCAGAGGAGGGGGCAACTGAGAGTCATAATTTTGGAAGCCCTTATGGGTTATACTGAAGTTAACTACGCTTCAGGTTCTAGGTTGAGCACAATGACCACCTCCCCCTGGGCAGTTGGTCCCGGAACGAGAGCGGCGGAGGGGGAACCCATTTTCGGAGGGTGCGGAGATTCTTGAGTCTTTGCGAACTGGAGTAGCCGCGTGCACTCGGGACCCTGCGTCCAACCGCGCGCCGGCCGCATGGGGCTACCTCCGGCCGAGCCGGGAAGGAGGTGCTACCTCGCGGCCCTCGGGGGAGCCCTCCCACTCTTCCCAACTTTCCCGGCCCCAGGGCCGGAGGAGGGCGCCTCTCCCGGCGGGGACGCGCTAGGTACTTAAAGGCGGCTCGGCGGGGCCGGAGCTCTTCAGTCGGAGCGCGCGGTGGCGGCGGCGCACGGTGGAGCGAGGCGCGGCGGCGAGGAGCGGGAGGAGGGGCATGGAGCAGCCGCGGGCCTGCTGAGCACCGGAGCGCGGGCAGCCGGCGGCACGGTGAGCGCAGGCCCGGCCGGCCGGCCGGCTGCCTCGGAGGGGCGGGCCGCGCGGGGTACCCGAGCGCGCCGGGCTCCAGGGGTGCCTCTTGCTGAGCCCCGCGGACCCCGCTGGCTCCCGGGGCCGTGCGGGCGCGGCGTCCAGCGCCGGGAGGCGGGCTGAGGGCTGCGGCATCTCCAAGCTTCCCGGCTCCCGTTCCTGCAGCCCCCTCCCCGCTGACCCCTCCTCCCTTTCTTCCTCCATCCTCTCCTTCTCCAGCCTCTCCTCCCTTCCTCCCTTGTGGCTCCTGTTTTGTGAATGGCTTGGGAGGCGGGCGACGGTGAGGGGCATGAGGCTGGCTGGAGTCTCTCCCTGCCCCAGGCCCGCCCAGGGGTTCGCACCTGTCCAGGCACCAAGATGCTTGGCGCCCGGGTTTTTGCGGGTCAGCCGGGCCACGGCCGCACGTACTCGCGGCCTGGGCTCCCCTTCCCTTGCGGGCTCGGAGGGGCCGGGAGGGCGGCCGGGCGCAAAGGAAAGAGCCCCTACCCCGCGCGCAAGTTTCCACCCCGACGCGTGTGGGCCCCGCAGCAGGGCGCACCTGTCAGCTGGAGAGGCTGCAGACTGGGCAGCCCCGCAAAGTGTCGGGAGTAGATTGGCGGCGTGCATCCTTGTCTGGGGTTTTCCTCTTTCCCTCTTCTCTGGGGGTGGGGGGAGGGCTTAGGGAGCGCCCCCAACCTCTTGCCCTTGAAGCCGGGTGCGCGTTAGCCTACCGGGGCCGAGCTCTCGTTGATCCCTTCCGAGCGAAGGGTATGGGGGGCAAGAGGCTCCCTCCGCCGGCTTGGGGGTGACACGGCCCCCTGTCTGGGCAGGGCCACCTGAGGCAGAGCCCCGCACCAGCGCCTGATTGCACGTGGGGTCTCCAGCTGCGGGACCTTATTGGGTCCTCTGTGGCATAGGGGTGCCGAGGTAATGTCTCCACTTCCTGAGCAGGGGAGGAGGATGTCCCGCCTGGGAAAGGAGGGGGCCGGCGACACCGGGGACGCCGTCTTTGTCTGCAGGCACACTTTGCCAAGGTAGCTGGGGCCCCCGAGGAGATGAGTGAGGCCTGGGTCGACTGATTCCTTGGGTTTTCCGTTCCTTCCAGGCTGGGTCGTGGGAAACCCGCACGTGGGTGTGGCCGGCACCGCCTTCGCCAGAAGGCGAGGCTCTGGCGTGGGCGAGAAGCCTGGCCAGTGTCTTCCCGGCTGCGTTAACCTGGTGGGCACCGCCTCCGGCACTGCACCGAGGCGGGGCGCCAGCGCCCGGCAGGTCGCTGGGTTGGCCTCGGCGCCCCCAGCCCTTTCCCAGAGCGCAGGCGGGCAGTAGTGCCCGCAGCACCCCCATGGCATGCGAGCTCTAGAGGGGGGCGGGGGCGCTCCTGGGCGGTGGATGCAGGGCCTAGGGATCCCTGGGCCGCAAGCGCGTGCGACGGCCGCGGGCTGGGGGTGGGGGGTGTGGGGGAGAGAAGGAAGGACGGGAGTCCTGCAGAGGAAGTACGCGGCAGGCTCCCCGGGATGGCGGGGCAGAGCGCCCGGAGGCCGCTTCCCGGTGAGGCGAAGCTGCCAACAATACTTTCCGGACCGAAGCTGCTGGAATGCTGAGGCCTGAGTCTCCGGCTGATTGAGGCACTAACTGCGTGTTCCTCACCCCTCCTATGTGAGAGGTGGCAGGGGAACAGACCCCCGGCAAGAAAGTGTGTTTGTGTTGAGGTGGGGGGTCAGGAGTTGGGTTTAGTGAGACGTAGGCTTGGAGCAAGCTTGGAAGTGAGACCTCATTGTCTGTAAAGGGTGGGTCGGTGGTGGCGGTGGAGGAAACGATTCTCCAGATCAGGCAGGTGGCAAGGAGGGGAGATGGGGAGAAGGCCTCAGAATGGAGGGCAGGGAGCTGGCCTCAACAGCCTTCTCCCATCTGCATCCACCTCCCCACGTGGGTCATCTTCAGGGCTACTAATCAGTAAAATGATTTACCCGAGGCCTATGGAGCAAGAAACCACTGGAATCCCTCCTGAGCGGGATGCTACGTCCCAGAGAATTTGCGCAAGGTCAGGCCGCCAGGAGGTAGTAGAGCTGTCTCAAGCACAAGACTTGTGGTTCCGAGTGCTAGGCTCTTTTCATTAAAAAAGCTATTTCCAATTGGGCAGATGCTAGAAGCCCTGACTTGGTTGCAAACAAAACCTGGCAGCATTTCCAGGAGTGGTGGGGCAGGGGGATGTGGACAGAGATTCTGTGTGGGCGCTAGGACCAAGTAGATGGGGCTTCCCAGGCAGCCACCCCTCCCAGGCTGCTGCAGTGGTGGCTGCAGTTCCCTCTGGTGCCCCAGTGCTGGGCTTCCAGGACGGCCGTCCACACCCCAGCGCTCATTTTTTCTTCTCTACCTTGTCTGCTTTTCCTGATTGTTTTCCCTTTCTTCCCTGCCTCTCAAATAAATGAGAAAAAGATGAGAAAGCAGAGAACATAGGGAAAGTTTCTTACCAATTTAGCTGTTTTGAGAAAGGGAAGCTGTTTCCTTCTTTTTTTCCTCTGGCATCTCTTTGTTTCCTATCTTTTCCTTCCCCACTTTCTTCATGGGCCTCATTGGTGTAATCCCCTAGTGGGTATAGGCCAGGTAGAGGCTGCCTACCTGCCCCTGCCCCCCCCCTTCTTCCTGGCCCCTCAGGTGCTCAGAGCTTCCTCTGGCCTCAGGCTCACCCCTACTGAAGCTTGCCTATGAGAGCTTTGTGTCAGGCAGATCCCAGTTCTGCCACCAGCTAGGTATCACACAGCTCTCTCTGGCTTTGGTTTGTCTAACCATAATAAATGCTACTTTAGGGGCTTCCCTGGTGGCACAGTGGTTGAGAGTCCGCCTGCAGATGCAGGGCACATGGGTTCGTGCCCCAGTCCGGGAAGATCCCACATGCCGCGGAGCGGCTGGGCCCGTGAGCCATGGCCGCTGAGCCTGCGCGTCCGGAGCCTGTGCTCCGCAACGGGAGAGGCCACAGCAGTGAGAGGCCCACGTACCGCAAAAAATAAAAATAAAAAAAATAAATGCTACTTTAAGTGCTTTACATATGTAACCCATTTAATCCTTAAAGATGCTAGGAAGTTAGTGCTGCAACCCACATTTTACAGATGAATTAACTAAGGGGTAGAACACAGTCACACAGATAGTGTCAGAGCTGGGATTTGAACCTCAGTAGTCTGGCTTCTGAGTCTACAGACAGTCTTAGTCATGCTCAATAAATGGTAATTGTTTTTATTAGTGGGTCATTTTCCCGGTTCTGGGCCAGGCCCAGAGAAAATGCCCCCACTGCCATTGACCAGGGATGCTGCCTCTGCCTGACCCACGTCTCCCACCTTCTCCCACCAGATGCCGGTGCAGCTGACAACAGCCCTTCGTGTGGTGGGCACCAGCCTGTTTGCCCTGGCAGTGCTGGGTGGCATCCTGGCAGCTTATGTGACAGGCTACCAGTTCATCCACACAGAAAAACACTACCTGTCCTTCGGGCTGTACGGTGCCATCCTGGGTCTGCACCTGCTCATCCAGAGCCTGTTTGCCTTCCTGGAGCACCGGCGCATGCGGCGGGCAGGCCGGCCACTGAAGCTGCCCTCCCCGCTGCGGCGCTCTGTGGCGCTCTGCATTGCTGCATACCAGGAGGACCCCGACTACTTGCGCAAGTGCCTGCGCTCAGCCCAGCGCATCGCCTTCCCCGACCTCAAGGTGGTCATGGTGGTGGATGGCAATCGCCAGGAGGATGCCTACATGCTGGACATCTTCCATGAGGTGCTAGGTGGCACCGAGCAAGCCGGCTTCTTTGTGTGGCGCAGCAACTTCCATGAGGCGGGTGAGGGTGAGACGGAGGCCACCCTTCAGGAGGGCATGGACCGCGTGCGCAACGTGGTGCAGGCCAGCACCTTCTCATGCATCATGCAGAAGTGGGGAGGCAAGCGAGAGGTCATGTACACGGCCTTCAAGGCCCTTGGTGATTCAGTGGACTACATCCAGGTAAGCGTGCCTCCCTAGGTGTATGTGGACATGTGGATGTGTCCAGCCAGGCAGGCATACTCTCCTGGGGACTTTTAGGTCCAGTCTAGGTCCTTTGTGTTGTGCACATTCCTCCTCTGCACTTAAGAAGGCAGTAGGCACCATGGTTCTCAACAGCAGTCCTGGGGTTAAAAAGACCTGGGAGGGAATCCTGGTTCTGCTGTTACTTAGTTCTGTGACTCTGGGCAGGCCTATGGATGGGTAGCCTAATAATAGCAAACAGGTGTAAAGTGTATAGCATTTACTTATACCAGACACTGTTGTAGGCACTTCATACATTTTAGTTCTTTTAATCCTCGTAATACTCCTAGGAGATAGGTACTGTTATTATTTCCACTTACAGAAACTGAGCCTGAAGCACAGAGAGGCTAAGTAACTTGCCTAATGTCACATGGCAGTAAGGTGCAGAGCCAGGATTTGAGCCTCGGCAGTCTGTCCTTGTCCGCTGTACAATACTGCCTCGATACTGGCAACATGGGGATGAGCCTCTTCATAAAGAAGTGTGGGGAAGAGCAAAAAAATAATCATGCTGCCAAGCACTCAAATAGTTTTAGTTATGGACTAAAAAGTCCAACTCTTTCCGGTGTCAAGTTCTTATCTGTGAGGTGGAGGGACACGTGCGAATCATCCCCCACCCCGATTCTGCAGCCATCTTGGCAGGGCCAGGACCCTGAACAGACCCTGCCTAGCTTCCAGCCAAAGCAGGCATTGACACCAGCCTGGAAATTTTATTATGCTGACAAGGTTAACATTGCTCCAATTTTCTTTTCCTTTTTAAAATTAATTTTATTTTTGGCTATGTTGGGTCTTCATTGTGGTGCATGGGCTTCTCATTGTGGTGGCTTCTTTTGTTGAGCAGCGTGGGCTGTAGGCGTGCGGGCTTCAGTAGTTGTGGCACTCAGGCTCAGTAGTTGTGGCTTGTGGTCTCTAGAGCACAGGCTCAGTAGTTGTGGCACACGGGCTTAGTTGCTCCGCAGCATGTGGGATCTTCCCGGACCAGGGCTCGAACCCATGTCCCCTGCATTGGCAGGTGGACTCTTAACCACTGCACCACCAGGGAAGTCCCCTGCTCCAATTTTCAAATAACAGAACCTAGAGAAAACTGATGAAAGGTCATGCATTTCAGTACCAAGTAGAAACTGACACCCAGGACCCCAGATTTCTGGTCCAGCATCCACTGTCCACTCCTCTGTTCCTGCCCTTCTCTGTTGCTTGAATGGATAGCGGCTGCTGCGGTAGCCCACCTACGTGCCAGCAGTCTTGCTGACAGCATGTTGCATACTCCAATATTCAAATTTTCTTTACTGTACCCACCTAAAATTAGCTTGCCACAGATTTTTTGTTTTTGGCTGTTTAGAAAGTTGAAATGAGAGTTGGCATATTTGTCTTTTTCTGTCTTCTTAGGCCCAAGGACCTCCTCAGCCTTGGAGAGGGAGGGATGTGAGACAGTTCTTGATTCTGCAGTTCACCTAGGGTCAAGGGGCCTTTGAGACTTGCCTGGGGACTCAGAAGATTTAGAAAAAGCCCTTGAGCCCTCCTGGCACGTGCTCAAGCTGTCGTGACTCTGTCATCTACTCCCTTGAAGCACAGGATCCCCCCAGACCTGCTCTACCACACCTCTTCCTTTCCTCTGTGCTCTGGTGGATCAGCAGATAGGCTCATGCACCTGAGCCAGCCTTTCTCTTGAAGGCTCTGGGCTCACTACTTGGGGCAGCCCTGGGTGCCAGTCATTAAACACTCTGGGTTTCTGCCTGTCTTCATGAGCCCTGCTGAAGGTGTCTTTCCCTCTTCGGGAGATAACCCTGCTCCAGCCAGTGGGGAAACTCAGGCGGCCAAGAGCTCTAACTTTCCTAACCTTGCTCAGCTGGAAAGACCTCCCTGGGGTGAGGGAAGCCAAGCAGCGTGAGGAATGAGATAGGGTCATGGCAGGAAGTAGTCTTGAGACCAGCAGCCCTAGGAAGCTTGGCCGGTAAGCTGAGGGGGCTCTGGGAGTCTGGCCTGAGGCTCCCTGGGGGCCTTCCCAGTCTGGGCCAGGATTGTAAGGATGTGTCATTGTGCAGGTAGGAGGGAGTGGCTGTGATGACTCTGCCTGGTTCCCCCTCTGCCTTCTGCTGCTTGTCTATGGCCACTGAGTCTTCTAACGTGGAGAGAGAAAGCATAAGGTTGGAGTGTAGAGGGCGGCCCCCTTCCTGAAGGCTAATAGGCCCTCAGCAACTTTAGTAAAAGGATTTTAGGCTTTTGCAGAACAGGGTTTGGGCTTATCTGTGGATACTGTTCTTTGCTCTCTCAGGGGTCAGGAAACCAATTCCTCTACTCTGGTTATCTGGGCTTTTTGTATCATCTCAATTTTCTAGTAAACAGAGAAGGAGTCAGCCACCAGAGTGTTTGTAGCCCAGGTTCAACTAATAACAATAACAGGCCACCTGTTAGAAATAAACCAGGAGTCTCCCTAGGAAAGGCAGGCAGGTGGGCAGGATTTGATCCAGGTCCTGACTGGAGGTAGCTGGTGCCAGCTTCCAGGCCCATCCAGAGTAGAATCTACGTGAGAGCAGCCCTTGGCCATGCTGTGCCCGGATCTGGGAGACTTGGCCAACAGAACACAGAAGGCCTGGCAGCCTCATTAGAGGTCCTGTGACTGGGCTAAATACATCCTCCACTTAGGCTGGTTGTCTAAGAGGCCAGAGGCTGAAACAGGGAAGACCCTGTTCTTAATAATCCTATGAGCAAGCTTTGGGCAGTAGCCTCTGGCAGGAGCCATTTCTTGGCCTTCTGAGAAATGTCTGCTGGTCCTGGTCTAGCCACAATGCTTGTCATCTGATTTCAATGACTTTTTGAAGAGAAATACTATTTTGAAGAGAAATAATATTTTGAGAAATATTTTAAGACCACTTCTGAGGAGGCTGGCTCTGTAAGGGGCTAAAGATTTCGCCAGTGCTAAGCACTTCTCCCTTTCTGGGCCCAGCACGGAATGTCTCCTGGAGATCTCTCGGTCTAGTGGCTATTAAGCCTGGTACCTGAACTCGTTTTCTTACTTTCCTTTGTTATTCATTTCACCCCTTCCATTTGGCATAGACTTCTCTGCTAGTAGCTTGAAGTGTATCATGTGAAAGGTGTGTGTGTGTACCTGAGGTCGAAATGGACTGATAGTGCATTCCCTCTGCAGGTGTGTGACTCTGACACTGTGCTGGATCCAGCCTGCACAATTGAAATGCTTCGAGTCCTGGAGGAGGACCCCCAAGTAGGAGGAGTCGGGGGAGATGTCCAAGTAAGAAGTAACCAAGGATTCCTGGGGGGGGCGGTCTGGATTCTTTCTGCTTCTTAATCTAATTGGATATGCTTAGGAATGGACATCTTGACTTCCTAGTGTTTTGGAGGGGTGTTTCCTCTTTGACAGTTTTCAGTGGTATCAAAGGGCTCATCTGCTACCCAACCCCTTTCCTGTTAAGTGGGGAGAAATTACTTAACAGGTATATAGAGAGCCTATGCTGCTGGGAGGGGCACAGTGTTCTGAGGCCATCCATCCTGGAGGGGGCTTCCTTTTTGGCCAGTGGTGCACCAAGCAACTCCGAAGTTAGACCCCTGAGAAACCCTTGCTCTTAGGGATGTTGCACTGAAGAGCTCCGGGCAGTATGGTACAAATAAAGGGTCAGATCTTCTTCCAAGGGTACTGCTGGCAACATACCATGTCTTCCCAAGAAGCTTTCCAACTGCAGAAAGGGTCAGGATGGGTGGCTGGGGTGTGTGCTTCTTTCTCAAGCCTTTCTCTTGGCCACCACCACAGGCTGCCTCCTGAGATTGAAGGTGGCTTTAACTGCTAGAGCAACTTCATTGGGACAGTCAGTGCAGAGGACACGGAGGAGAGGTGGGGCTGGTGCTGGGGAGAGTGACTGGGTGTGGTCGCCTCCTCTGAGCCTCTGGTTTCCCAGCTCTGGCTGGGCGAGGACTCACGGCCAGGAACTGGAGCAATGGGCTCCAGCACTTGGGGTGTAGGGAGGCCTCGTGGTCTCTGGTGTCTGTCTCCTGGGGCTCATGTCCTCAGGCAAGGAGGCCCAGCATCTCTGGTTCCCTTGCAGATCCTCAACAAATACGATTCATGGATCTCCTTCCTGAGCAGTGTGCGGTACTGGATGGCCTTCAACGTGGAGCGGGCTTGCCAGTCCTACTTTGGCTGTGTGCAGTGCATTAGCGGGCCCTTGGGCATGTACCGTAACAGCCTCCTTCAGCAATTCTTGGAGGACTGGTACCATCAGAAGTTCCTAGGCAGCAAGTGCAGCTTTGGGGATGACCGGCACCTCACCAACCGAGTCCTGAGTCTCGGCTACAGGACTAAGTATACAGCTCGCTCTAAATGCCTCACAGAGACCCCCACCAAGTACCTCCGGTGGCTTAACCAGCAGACCCGCTGGAGCAAGTCTTACTTCCGCGAGTGGCTCTACAACTCTCTGTGGTTCCACAAGCACCACCTCTGGATGACCTACGAATCAGTGGTCACGGGTTTCTTCCCCTTCTTCCTTATCGCCACAGTCATACAGCTTTTCTACCGTGGCCGCATCTGGAACATTCTTCTCTTCCTGCTGACAGTGCAGCTGGTGGGCATTATCAAGGCTACATACGCCTGCTTCCTTCGGGGCAACGCAGAGATGATCTTCATGTCACTATACTCCCTTCTCTATATGTCCAGCCTCCTGCCAGCCAAGATCTTTGCCATTGCTACCATCAACAAGTCTGGCTGGGGTACCTCTGGCCGAAAAACCATTGTGGTGAACTTCATTGGCCTCATCCCTGTGTCCATCTGGGTGGCAGTCCTCCTTGGGGGGCTGGCCTACACAGCTTACTGCCAGGATCTGTTCAGTGAGACAGAGCTAGCCTTCCTTGTCTCTGGGGCCATCCTGTACGGCTGCTACTGGGTGGCCCTCCTCATGTTGTATCTGGCCATCATTGCCCGGCGATGCGGGAAGAAGCCAGAGCAGTATAGCTTAGCTTTTGCTGAGGTGTGACGTAGCCCTCAAGCAGAGCGGGAAAAGTGCAATGGGTAAGGGAGGGAAGGGGAATGGAGAAGATGGGGTGGGAGGGAGGAGGGAGTGCTGTTTTAGTTTTTTAATGGTCCAAAGGACAAATGTGAAGTGCAAAGAATGGTGACTGTAGTACGGCCTGGGCCAGCTCTGCTTAGAGGAGGCAAGTCCAGCTCAGGGTGATGGAGGAGGCATGTATGTTTTCAGGCCGCCTGTCTGCTTGCCTCTGTGCACACAGTGGCCTCTGGGCAACATTCCACTTCCTCCCCTGAGATCCAGAGGGAACTCAGAAGTGTGCTAAACCAAACAATAAGTTCCATTCAGTGGCAGCTTCTGATGGGTGAGTAAGCAAGGAGGGTCCGTGGGAAGCGGTTCTCTTAGCCCACCTGAACAAAATCAGAGGTGGTGGGAGAATTTGAGAGATCTGGGCCAGCTAGTAACGTGTCCCCACCTCGATCTAGTTATCAATGCAATAAGATTGTGCCTGAAATACAAAGCCCAGAAGCCTGATCTTTGGGCATCAGAAAACAGGGTCCAGGAATGGTGCTTTCTTATGTGAAGTACTGCATTCCACATCTCAACATCCCAAGGATGAGCCAGACTAGCAGGGAGTTAGCACTGGACTGGTTTTAAGTGTGAAGTGTGTGTATATATATGTTAAAAAGGAAAGTTTGCCAGGAGGAACAAACGGTGGTGGTGGTGCTAAAGGCCATAGCTCAAGGCTCTATGGAGGCCTTGAGCTGAATGTATTCTACCTGGAAATTGCCCACATACCTAGATTGTCTTGTCTGTGATCTCTACTGAGGAGGTAAAATGTTTTCGTCATCTACCAGGAAGATTAAACCCCAACATGCTCAGAAAGGAAGTGAGGGCTTGGGTATTTCAACCTGTATACTCCTGAATTCTGCTCTCAAATTCAGCTCTGACTGAGTCTAAGACAGCCTCCTCACTTCGCTTCGCTTCACTTCACAGTGATAGTCACCTGTTCCACCCTCCTCCTCATCGGGAAAGTTCTTCAAGGTGGCGAGTGACACAGAGCCTGGACTCTCACGGGCCCCTCTGCAATAGGCAAGCCTGCCCTCAGCACGTGGGGAAAAGCTATTAGGAGCCTCTGACCACACTGGCTACAGTCTTGGAACTGCCTGGACAGATTCCTTGGCAGATGAGCAGTACCCATGACGTTCAGGCTACGGTTGTTGACAATCACCTCTAATGGAAAGCTTTTCAGTGTTCCCTAAGGGAACCCTCAATCCAAGCTGGTCATCGTTGAGCCTGTCCATTCTCCTCAGTGGCTTCTCCAGGGAATTCTTACAGCCAAGTGGTGGATAGTCATTACTGCATTTGCTTGCTTCTGTCCAGAAACCAAACTAGGAGATGGAATTGGTATCTAAATCCTAAGGTTCTTCTCTCACGCCTCTCGAGGCTGTTTGATTTCCCTCTTTTTTGGAGGGGGAGTGAGGGAAGGCCATTTTCTACAGATCTGCAATCCACAGACTGTTCTGAGCTCTTGGATTTGAAAACTGGGATATTGACTAAGCCTTTGACTTAGAGGTTGCTTGCTCAAGCGTGCTTTCTCGCCAAACATCCACTCTCAGAGGGGCCTGCTGAGCCCTCAGAACCAGCACTAAGGTGGACAGTAGTCGAGGGGGCAAGCCTCTAGTGTGCCCAGGTGCTTCCTACGAAGGAACAAAGTGTGCTCTGAGCCAGACTGGCAAACCCTGGTGCTTCATCTCCCGTGAACTCGGAGGTCTTCCAGCTGCAGCGAACACTGCTGCATCACACAGACCTTGAGTTTGTAAGAAGACGACTGCTGGTTGACATCAGGCCTAATCCATGAAGGCTGGGAAGAGGCGGCAGGTGTTTGCTGAAGGCAGTTGTTCCAGGCTCTTCCATGTTTTTGCTGGCCAAGAAGTAAACTATTTTGAGCATTACAATGGAAGAAATCCGGTCAGCCAACTGCAGAGCTCAGACTTCACTAAGGGCTTGTTTTTCTTCAGCTTTTACTTGAAGGTTAATGTAGGATGGACTCCCAGATGGAGAACTCTTGGCTGTCCTACCATCAGCTCTGCCTTGCTCTGTGACAATCAACTTTCTCCAGATCAAGAGAAGGCAGGTACAAGTAGTGGGCCCACAACGTTTGACCTCAACTGGTTTTTCTAAGTTATTTTGTACATTTTTCAGCAGCGAAACCAAACTGGGTCTTCAGCTTTATTCCCGTTTCTTGTAAGGGAAGAGCCTTTATACAATTGGACACATTTTGGGTTTTCCTCAATGAGAATTTTAATCCTCTTTTGTATTATTTCTACAATAATTTGTAAACATATTTATTTTTACTTTTTTTTTTTTTTACTTTCAGGTCAAATTTTTTATACTGCACTTATTTGTCAAAATAAAGATTCTCACATAATGCTGGTACCTCTGAGCTCCTCCCTCCCTCTTTGTACTTAACAAAAGCTAGCTCTTTATTCCAGTTTCAAGATTGGTACTCGAGGAAGAACTAGTTTTGCCAAGGAAATTCCAGTGGAACTCAGAAGCAGGTAAGTTGTCACAGCTGCCTCTGGCCCTGGGGAATACAGTAGGTCTACCTTGATAACTGCACACCTATGGTGGCTTAATTTTTTATTGTAGAGAGTGGACTGGGTCTTTGGTGAAATTACGAGCCAGTGAGTGAGCCCTAGTTAACCAGCTAAGGCTAAAAACCAAAGCTTGCTTACTCCTTGAAAATGTCATTATCTGGAAGGTAATGTAGGACTGTGGCCAAGCTGAAACAATGAAAAGCAGTGGGTAAACTTCCTTCCCTGTGGAACAGGTAATAAAAAGGGAGTGAAATCAATAGCCCTCTCGTCCCATTTATTAAAGAAACAGTAAGAAAAGGTACAATGCAGGAAAACACCAACCATCCTTTCACATCAGGCTGAACGAAGCACAGTGATTTCTCCCCTTCACTCCCCCCACCCCCACCCCAATTCCCATAACCCCATCCACGTCAGTTTAATTTTGAGGTTCTCTGATTGGGAGTACCAGTGGAGAGGGAGCAGGATGAGCAGTGGAGCCTTGATCCTGGCCTTCTCTAAGTAAGTCCCAGGAGAAGGGAGTTGCAGGCCCGGTCAGGCCAGCAGAAATCTGGTGGCTCTCTGAAGTGGCTGCACTTCCCTGTTCTGTGTTCCAGCCCCCAGGGGAAGGTATGGCAGTAGAGCGTGACCAGGTCAGCGCTGCTGAAGCATGGTCCACTCACCAACGCAACATTTCTAGACAGCAGTGAGCTGATTCTCCGGTGGTGAGCAGGGGACCGCATATGAATTGGAACCTGCAGGCCAATGTATCCCTGAGGAAAAGTCCACAAGAACAATTCAAGAAACTAGTAAGAAACAAGGGGCAGAAAGCTGTGGGACAAAAGCACAGCAGGCTTCTGGAAGGCTGGAGATTCCTTCTCGCAAGGCGGGATCATTCCCACCTGCCAAAGTCCATGTCCCACAGGTAACATTTCACCTTCAGTCAAGAAAGACGCAGGGGGGGGGAAAAAGGCTCATTTGAATTTGAGCCCCAGCTATGTACTTCAGACTGTAGCTCCATATCTACCCTTTCACCTAAAACACAGCCCCTGCCCAGAACCACAGTGCCTGGAAACCAAGGTGGTCCTGGAGAGAAAATGGTGTTTAAGGGGGTAACATTCCATTTGGGTACATTGCAGCCATTGGACCCCCTGGTCTGGGGAAAGCAGCTGGGTTTGTGCCAGGGAGGCTCCCCACTCTAGGAAATGGGACCAAAGTCTTGCTTACAGGGCCATTCATCCTTGGAAAGGAAGCTGGGTTTAGACCCAGGGTCCCAGTTGGCCTTGCAAAAGGAGCTGGGTTGATACCCACCGGGCCTGCTGGCGAAGAGCCTAGGGGCCCAGGAGCTGACCTGGGGAAAGTAACCTGACCAGGGCCTAACGGGCCAGTAGACCTTGGGAAGGTAGCTGGACTTGGACCCTGTAAACCAGTGGCCCTTGGAAAGTTAGCTGGGTTGGAGCCTAGTGGCCCAGAGGCTCTTGGGAAAATTGCCGGACTTGAGCCCTGGAGGCCAGCAGACCTCTGGAAGTTAACTGGGTTTGAAGCCAATGTGTTAGAAGATTGAGAGAAAGCAGCTGGGTTCAATCCCCCTGAACCTGTCCCCCTTGGAAAAGGATTAGCATTTACTCCCATGGGGCCAGCGGGCCTTGAAAAATGAGCTGAATTAGGGCCAATGGGGCCAGGAGCCCTCGACATGGGAGATGGATTTGGCCCCGGAAGGCCAATTCCCCGAGAGCCAGGACCCGAGTTCGGGCCTATGGGGCCAGGTATTCTAGCCATGGAAGATGGGCTTGTGCCCATGTTTCCAGAAGACTGTGAGAAAGCAGCTGAATTTGCTCCTAAAAGACCTGCTGCTCTTAGAATGGGTGCAAGATCTAGGCTTTGAGGTCCAGCCATTCTTAAGTTAAGACCAGATCCTGTGCCCAAGAGGCCACCTGCTCTGGTGTCCAAATTAGGGCTTGGAGCCAGGCCACCTGCCCTTGGGTTAGGCCCAAGGCCTGGGCCCAGGCCACTTGACCTTGGGTTCGGCCCAAGGCCAGGGCCTGGAAACATACCTGACCTCGGGGCAGGGTTTGTACCTACAAAGCCTGATCTCAGATTGGGACTTGGTCCGGGGCCCAGGCCAACGGGCCTAGGATTGGGAGGACCATTCCCAGAAGTCAACAGGACACCTGCTCTCAGGTTGGGTCCAGATCCAGGGCCCATGGGGCCACCACTTCTGGGGTCAGGACCTGTTCCCAGAAGACCACCTGGCCTTGGGTTGGACATAGGACCTGGTCCTGGGAGACCCCCTAACCTTGGGTTAGACAGAGGCCCTGGGCCTGGAAGAGCCCCTGCTCTAGGATTTAGAGCTGACCCTGGGCTTGGGCCCAAGAGACCACCCGGCCTTGGGAAAGAAACTGCACCTGTGCCAGTGGGATTCATCCCTCTTGGAAAAGAAGCCATGCCTGGGTCACGAGCACCAGCAGGGAAAGGTGCTGGATTTGAAGCCAATGAGCCTGATGAAGTTGGAAAAGGAGACGGGTTCCTTGGAAACGGGGCCAAATTTCCACCAAGAGAGCCGGTTGCCATAAGGAAGGGATCTGAGTTCATACCCAGAGGGTGGCCTGTGTTTAAAGCAGGACCCCCTTGTGGTCCCAGGGAACTGTCCATCCGTCCTCGAGGTGGCAGCGGAGCACGAGTCCAAGGAGTTGGCCGCTCTCTAGGGAAAATCCGGGGTTCTTTCATACTTTCTTGGGGACGTTGGTGATAATGGGCTTGGGGCGAGTTTTGAAAAGGATCTTGTTTTTGATGAGTGCTGTTACCACGTACTGGGTGCCACTCCTGCAGTCAAGATCATCACAGTCCTGCTCCCCGGGAGTGTGTTTAACAAGGACGGCAAAAGGTTTCTCCAGATGGATGATTTTCCCATACAGGATATGATGCCCCACGATCAGCACAGGGATTCCCTTTGGCAGAACAAGAATGAGATGCCTGAGGTTCAGGGCAAGGTCGTAACATTCAGGTGCCTTCTAGAGATGCTCTTGGGAGGCAATGCTGGCACCTCCACTCCCTCAACCACTGTTGAGAAGCCACAAAGGACAACCCACCCTCATATCCTTTTTACTCTAGCCCCAAGTAAGAGAATTTCTACTTTTAGAACTGTGACCTTTCCAGATTCCCCAAAGCTAAATTTCCCTGCTACTGCAGAGGTGGGGGGAGAACAAGCAATGGCTTAGCTAGACCTTGAATAACAAACCTGAGGGCAGTCCTCACTCTGGGTCCTGGGAGCACCACCTTGGTGTAGCTTGCTTTCCTGAAGCATTAGGCAGGGAAAGAAAAGTCCCCTCACCTCAGTGGTGTAATGTAGGTCTCCCAGGAGGTTTCCAGCTAATCCAGTGCTGTAGCGAGCCTCGATCTCCCCCTGTAGCTCCATCAGCACCCATTCTGCCAGGCCTCCAGCCCCAGCACTGCAAGCAAAGGGCTGGCGGTTACAATATTTTGGAGGGGTGAAGGATGAATAATAGTGTCCTACACCACCATTCAAGGCCCAAGAGATCTCTTTGCTGAGCACGAATTCTTGGGAAACTGGGCAGTGCTAGACACTGAACTAGAAATGCAAGGATTTGTGCAAGATGCACCTAAGGACCCCAATTCTTCCAGGGAAATTTCAAACCTATATAGCCCTAATCATTCAAGCTAAATTAAAAAAAGTCTCAAAAGGTACTCACCTGGAAATAATGATCTGCACCATGAGCTTCCCGTCTTTAAAAAGCAACTGAAAATAAGCTGTAGAGAAAAAAAATTTCTTTAGGATAACAACAATAGCTAACATTTGTCACTTACTGTGTGCTAGGCACTTTTGTAAGTGCTTTAGACATATTTAATTTCAATCCCCTAATAACTCTATAACATGTAACATTTTAAAACTGATATTGTACATATAAAATTGCTTCAGATCACCAAGGGTCAACTACAGGGTGGAAAGTTAATAGGTATCACAACTGTGTACAAGGTCGCATAGCTACTAGTCTACGAGCCAGGATCTGAACCCAACACATACACCGCAGAGCCCACACTCTTGGCCAGTATGCTAACTTGCCTTTCTCAAGGATATTATATTTTCCATTCTGCATGGTTCTAAAAAACTAAGGAATTCTTTTAGGTTTTACTTTTTCCTTTGGTGATGATATAAGCTTCATGTCTGCCACTTTGGTTATCTTATATTTCAAGGTTCAAATGATCTCTTTTAACTAAAAGCCAAGAGAATGGAAAAGGTCTTCCAGACAACTTTAGTGAACGGTAAGCTGATTTCTGATATGATTCTCATCAAACACTTTGCCCATCTTTCATCATTTAGACACTAAGGATACCCTGACGCTTAATCTACTTTCGTTTTATACAATGGCACCACCTGGTGGCAAGTTTGGGGCACTCTACAAGAATGAGTTAAAATGGGACATTTTTGCCTGAAACAACTGGCTTCTTGTACTTTGTCTTCCTGAGAAGGATAGATTAATGGGGAGATTGAGGGATGGGGGATCTAAACTATAGCTTCTGTACAAATCTTTCCAATGAATAGATGGAGCCTAGTGGAAGGTTATCAGATCAGTGTTTACCAACTGTAGAACAGCAAGTTAATAGGAATTATAATTGTGCTCACGATTAGCAAACACCTGCTTAAAGTTAAACAGGTTTCCTTACTGACATGTTAATCTTTGTTTTGGATCTCCAGTGAAAAGTATATTCACAGCAGCCCTGTAAGACAGCGGAACCTCTTACTCTTGAGCACCAAACACATTTTGGAAATATGAGGTTGGTCAATCAGTGGTCTTCAAATTCAAATATAAAGAGCAGCTAATATTTATTCAATTTTTACTATGAATCAGATGCTGTGCATATATATCATGGGTGGTATCTCATTCAACCACTCTGAGATAGGGACTTATCCGTATTTTGCAGATAAAGTTACTGAGGGATACATTTGCTTTATGTGGCACACACACGGCTAGCAGGTGGTAGAGCCAACACAAGAACCTAGGTCATCCAACTTTACACTCATAATCAATACCCTCTCAAAGGAGAAAACCGAGAATAAAAAGGCATGAAGGCATCAGGCAGGCATTGAGTACATGCATTCAGCAAGAGCTGAATCAAGAAGTCATGTTTGAATAAGCCAGACCTGCTGTAGCAGTACCAGGTGTGGTACCGCTTGACAACAGGTAATACACTGGCTCAGGACGGCAAAGGTCTTCTGACAGATAAGAAGGCCCCACCTCCACCATCAACAGAACAATCAAAAGCACTTTTAATATTCTTCCAAGGTTTCTTGAAGGAGAGACTAATAATTTAAAATTAGAAGGCCTAAATTCAGGTTCCAGCCTGTAAGTGTGGAACTCTTTCAGTGTCATCATACACCAGTCACTTAATGACCGTGGGGCTAAAACCTGGATTGTCTGACTCATTTAACTATCATGAAGACCAAATAAAACATATGTGGAGGGCTTCCTTGATGGCGCAGTGGTTAAGAATCCGCCTGCCAACGCAGGGGACACGGGGTCGAGCTCTCGTCTGGGAAGATCCCACATGCCACAGAGCAACTAAGCCCAGGCGCCACAACTACTGAGCCTGCGCTCTAGAGCCCGCGAGCCACAACTACTGAAGCCCACATGCCACAACTACTGAAGCCTGCGCACCTAGAGCCCGTGCTCCGCAACAAAGCAGCCCACGCGCCGCAATGAAGAGTAGCCCCCACTCACTGCAACTACAGAAAGCCCGCGCAGCAACGAAGACCTGACGCAGCCAATAAATAAATTAAAAAAAAAAAAATGTGGAGATGCTTTAAAGACTAACATATAGCTAATTTTTTAAAGAATGGGATAAATAAATCAACATTTCCACACTATAATTGTGAGTAAAATTCAGAGAATGGTAGGTACATTTTAGCCATGAATCAAAAAAGGCTCAATAATTGAAATTGAAGTTGTGAAGTTTCTAAAGGTTAATAAATGCATATAGATTGAGAAGAGTTCTTGTAAATAAGCTTTTGATGACTGATGAAATAGTATATTTTCCTTGATAAGTGTAAAATACAGGTGGTTTCACAGAAGCAACAGGGTGTTCACACAGATACAAATTTTAGGAAAATCATGGCAGGGAAGGAGATTAATCTTTAAGACCTCTGACCACATGTTTGAGATAGGAATGTGCAGACTGTTTAGGCAAAGGGGATGTAGAAATATTTTCAGTGCATTCCCCATTTCCTCGACAGTCTCCTATCAGAACAGGAATTCAAAACAGTGGCCTAAAGGGAATTCCCTGGTGGTCCAGTGGTTGGGACTCAGCACTTTCACTGCCGTGGGCCTGGGTTCAATCCCTGGTCAGGGAACTAAGATACCGCCAGCTGCGTGGCGCGGCCAAAAAATAAAAACAAAAACAAAAAAACAGAAAAAACGGTGGCCTAAGTGAATAAAGGAAAACAGATGCCTAGTAGCTGGGTCAGAGTAGCTGTACCTCCATACTTGTCGCTGTGCTTCAATGAGCACACACAGCTCTCTATCCACTTATGTAGGAGGCCCTGCCTGAGTACACCTATTGATACTGGCAGACATCTAACAATTCTTGTAAAAATAAGAATTCTGTGGCCTAAAAACTTGTGCTAGACCTAATGAGATGCCGGAGATGTGAATACAAATGAAGTTCACACCCAGCTTACAAGAGTCTAGCTCACAGGAACCTGTGGACTGATACAGCTATATTTATGTACATGAGAGTGTATTTACCAAGTTAGTAAGTGATGTAGGGGAAGGCATCCCTTTTGTGAATTTTAAAATTCTACTTTAGCACCTTAAAATATCCCACTGGCTGAATCAGATTCTTCTTCTTGCTCCTTGCTCTAGGCAACTATTCTCAAGAGTAGGTATGTATACCTGAGTAAGTCACTGATAACACACCTGATGGAGGTGACAGGGAATATGTATTTCACTTAGTGTGGAGATGACTAAAAAAGATAATGAGGGGCTTCCCTGGTGGCGCAGTGGTTGGGAGCCTGCCTGCTAATGCGGGGGGCACGGGTTCAAGCCCTGGTCTGGGAGGATCCCACATGCTGCAGAGCAACTGGGCCTGTGAGCCACAACTACTGAGCCTGCGCGTCTGGAGCTTGTGCTCCGCAACGAGAGGCCGCCATAGTGAGAGGCCCGCGCACCGCAATGAAGAGTGGTCCCCGCTTGCCACAACTAGAGAAAGCCCTTGCACAGAAACGAAGACCCAACACAGCAAAAATAAACAAACTCCTACCCCCAACATCCTCTTAAAAAAAAAAAGATAATGAGAACATGCAGCCCAATCTGTCCTCATTCCCTTCAAAGTAGGCAGAAAAAATTAGTAGGAAAACAAGGAGGTGAAGAAGTATAATACAAGTCAAATCCTATTAGTAATAACAAGTAACATTATAATGAAAATTTTCTGTATAACAAAAAGATTTCTAAGTCTTCAGTCTCAACTCATTCCAACATTTAAAAATAAGCACAGCAATTTCTAAGTGCTTGTTCTAAGGTATTGCTTGTGTAGAAACTGCAGCTTTATCAAGAGCAACATCTGAAGGCACGGTTTGATGAATGTACCATATCAAATCATGACACTAAAAGGAGTCACTGGAAGAGACTGCCCAGCACCTCACTCTCAACAGCCTTGAGTTTAATCCCAGATTTAGCTAGGACCAACTAACTGGTCTTTGTTGAAGAATAATAATTCCAAGTTCCTGTACAGCCAGGAAGAACTGATGCCACTTTTCAAAAAGATGTTTAAATTCAATATATTTCAGAGCGGAGTCTCACAGGCCACAACTACAGTACATACTTGGAGACTTGGAGAGATAGGAAGGTGTGGAAAAAACCAGCCAAACACCTTTCCCCTGCAATGAATTATTTTGACTCCCTACCCCTCCCTTATAAAAGGGGGAAATGTTTTACTACTCAATTTTTGGGGGTCTTTACATAGCTAAACAAACTAAACACATAAGTTCTATATTCCTAACTTAGTCAAATGACTTTAGCTATGTAAACAAAACTTTTTAAAAAGCACTTTGTATGTTTTAACTATTTTTTCCCTTAAAGAAAAAAAAAAGCCTTTGTGGGGGGCTTCAAGATTTCTAGAAATATTATCTAAGAAATTTCTAGAAAAATCTGAGGTTGCCCCAGATCATCCCCAGTCTTGAGACCTGGAGTTACTTTGGAGATCCTGAGTAAAGTCAAGACACTGTTGTTTCTCAAGACAGTGGTCCAGATGACTTCAAGACCCCTGAACAAACCACAGATGAGCAAAGAAACCCACATTCTCAGAATCAACCAAGACTCACAATGGGAACCCTAATCAAAACTCAAAAGGTCTGTCTGAAATCAGACCAAATCTGGGATACATCTTATTTAACTGTCATTTTGAAAGTCATTAAAAACCTGAAAAATCAAAGTGCCACCACAATTTCTTAATTAGGAAGAAAAATTCAGGCAGAGCATTATTTTTGTAATACAAAAAGCTTCATTTCTCACATAGCTAAACCTTTTTGAACATTTATCTGGATTCTCTCTTTTCATCCTGAAAACAATCCTATGATACAGGTACTATCACTCCCATTTTACAGTGAGGAAACACGCTTAGAGAAGCTAAAGGTTAAGTAACTGGTGGAACAGCTAGTAAGTGGTAGACAGGGAATGTGAATTCTAACTCCTCCACAATCTGGCCTGTCCTGCAGTCCTCTCACACAGCACCTCCTCATGCAGGACATCAGTACAGGAACTTGCTTTACAAACATTAGTCTTTCTCATAACATCTCCCACAAGATGGCAAATAAACCACCTATGAAGAAGATGTTATATCTCGCCACCGAAGTAACTATGACATCTGTTGGGTAGGCAGCTCAAAACAAATGAGCCTGCTTTTCATCATATCCAACTGACGAGACTTAGGTTTCTGAAATCCCTAGAGATGTACTCAAGGTTACCTCCAGGATTCAAAACTATAGCCTAAACCTCCGTTTCCTGCCTGTGTAAGGCAAAATAAGTCAAAAGAACAGAGCACATTCTTTGTCACTGATTCATCTAATCTCCTACAAAATTTCTTATCCATTGGTTTCCGAGTTGTTAAATTGTTAATATTACTAAGGTCTTACAGAGAACATCATGAGCAATGATCCTCATGATGGTTAACTGCCCCCAAAATAAAATGTAGCAGAAGAAAGCGTGGTATGTATCGTATTAAACAGATTATGCAGCTTTCACTGAAACAGGGGCTTTGACTCAATGATTTAACCTAACTACACATAATTAAATTTTATTACAGCTAAACAATGTTTAGCTGTAATAACATTGGCCCTTTCATCTTTTCTTGTTGCTTTTTAAACGGAATAAAGGCTTTAACTTTACAATTCTTAATTTAAAAACATTCATTTTTATTTTTAAAAATTAAATATATGACACAAAATGTTTGCAAATTGCTGGGCCAACAATTAGCACTTACTGAGTTCTTATTCGGTCCCAGAAACTACTCTTTGTGTTTAGGGATTCAGTGAGAACTGAATCAGACCTGGATTCTGATTCTGCCATTTATCTAGCCTGCGTATGACAAGGGGTAATTTAATCTCAGGTTGCAGTTTCTCCACCAATAAATTGAGCATAAAGAAAACCCACCTCAAAAGGTGGTTGTGAACATTAAATGAAGTTTTGAATGTAAAGTCCTCAGCACAGTGCCTAACATGGTAAACCTTTAGGGTCAAGCTATTGATTACCTGGAGGAACATGGCATTTTCTTAGTACATGTCCAATAGAATGACTTTATACTACTCTGTGTACTTATTATTTTAATGTTTATAGTGGATTAAAACATCCTATAAAAGCAGCATGTTATCAGAATAAAATCAAGGTTACACAATGGGAGAACAATTCAAATATGGCAGTCAGGGTTCACCAAACTGCTTCTGGGATTAAGTTCTGGAACGTTTTTTACCTCTAAGCATGATAACTATTTCTCTGTGTGTCTTTCCATCAAATGAACAATTCAGGAACTTTTATATACAACTCAATACATTATTTTTATTAGCAGTGTTGTGATTTTGTGACTGATGGGGAGAGTCTAAGTTTCAAAGGGAAGATCTTGTCTCTTTGACAGGCTTATGTTATGTCATTAAGAGCTAAAATCCAGTTTCTAAATGAGAAGCTTGCTCTCCTTCAAAAAGGGGCCATGGAAGAGTAGGTGGAACTGAATGCTTCCAAACTTTTCATTAGTGAAGAGTGGGTTCAAAAACGTGTGTGGACACTATGCATACATGTGGTACTTTCCCATCACATTTTAAGATTCCCATGATGGAGGGAATCAATTACTGGTATTTGTAGACAATGGGTAGAAAAGATGACTTCAGTCGATCAGAGTTACTCCAGTTTTCTGCATCTTCTGCTACTCTGCGGCCCCTTCTACCCTTCCTCCTCCTACTGCTGTGGCACCCTATCTTCCCCAAAGCCCCTTCCTTTATAGCTCTACTTGAGGTCTCCCTCTGTACTGGATTCCCCTCCCACCAGCCCCCATCTTCTCCACCCTCTCCCCGACCCCCTCCCCTCCCTTCAATTTCAGCTACAAACACTTCCTATTTCTAGCCCCGCCCACTTTCTGGGACTTCTCCATCCACTTCCCCCCCCCCCCCCCCAAACAAATTACCCCCGACTATCTCTAGGACCGCTTACCAAGCTGTTTAACCCTTTCTCCTATCTACCAAGGAAACTCTTTAAACTGCCTTCCTCCACTCCCCACCCCCGGAATACTCTTTCCAAACCGTTCATCCTCCTCCCAAAGATCAGTCTTCAAACGTTACTCCTCTACCACCCTCATTTTCCAAATCGTTCCCTATTTCCCCCCCTCAATTCTTAAGTACTTCTCTCCTCCAGGACCCGACTCCACCCCACTCTTCTCTCGTCTCTCACTCCGCCCACAAATGAAGCTGGATCACTCTCCAGACTGTCTCTTCCTTCCAACCACCCTCCCAATTACCGCTCCCAGCAGCATCTCCCCCACGACTTAAAATGTCCCCTCGAAGGAACCTCACAGTCCCCCGCTAAGTCCCCTTTCTGATGTTCCCGCTACTTCCTGGGTTCCAGTTCTACCCCACTCTCGCAAGCATCCCGTGCTGGGTTCCCTCCCCACCCAGGGAAGAACCCCTTTCCGCACATACCTCGAGGTTCCGGCCCGCGCCGCCCCCTTCTCCGTCCTCCGCCCGCGCTCGGCCACTCTTTCCGCCCTTCTCCCGCTCCGCCCTGCTCGCTCCCTTCCTTCCCTCCGCCTTCCGACTCCACATTGCTCCCTTCTCCACAATTCCCGGCCCTCCTACCAGGGGGCCCCTCGGGGTCGCCCCCCACCTCTGCACGGCCCTCCCCACTCCCCTCCCCCTTCCCGGCCTCCCCTCCCCCCCGCCGCTCCCCCACTCCCCGCCCCTCGGCTCGCCATTCTTCTTCTCGAGCCGCGTGCCCCGCCCGGCCCCAGCTCCCTAGCTTCCCGCTCCCTCGCACCCTCGCCCCCATTCCCGGCTCGGCCCTCGCTCCCCGCGGCCTCCCGCGCTCCCTGCCCGCGGCCTGACCTGCAATGGCGGCCGCCGAGCGCGGCGCCGCGCGGCCAACGGGCGACAACCGAACCTCCCGCCGCCGTCGCCGCCGCCGCGAGCACTGCCTGCGCACTTCCGGCCTTGCGGCGCGAGCACTTCCGGGGCAGAGCACGCGAGCGCGCGCGCACGTGGGGCCGGGGCGGAGAGAGGCGAGCGCCGAGAGTGGCTAGTCCATCCGCTGGTGAGTTGGGGAAGGGGCGTGGGGAGCGGGGATGGGACGGGGTGGGGGGGTGTTAGAAAGGGTGAGGCCTGCTGCAGGTCGGCGCCCGGCGGAGCTCGCCGATTCTCTTGTGCCGAGGCCGGTGGGGGCTACTCCGGAGATCCCCGGAGAGGGAAGGGGCGGTGGAGCCCTCGCGCGCGCGTTGGACGCACTCTTAGCCCGGCCCGGCCGAACGCGCCTGCTCTGCAGGCAGGTTCCTCACCTTGAAAGGAGACGAGTAGGGGGCGACCCAGAGCGGAGTGCGTATATTGGCGGCGACGGAGCGGCAGGTAGAGGGAGTAGTTGACAGATGACGACCAGTCCTGTCGTTCCTCCCCTTGAGACGCTCTCGGTTCTTCCTGCCCCATCAGCCCCACCATCAGTACCGTAGTTGAGTGTGTGATTTGAAAACTTAACATGCAGTAGAGATAGAGGTGTTTGCCAAAATGCAGATTGCTAGCCCTCCCCCCGCCCCAAAAGATTGGAATTCTGGAACTGTGGAATAGGACCCGGAATCCTGCATTTTTAAAAACCATTTTTCGAGGTGATTTTGATACAGGAGTTCTGCGGACATGACTTTGAGATACTCCTTTAGACTGTCCACATTTCTTGCTTCTTTAGAGTGGTCGTGGTATTTATCCTCCTCTCCACCACCCCCACCCCCAGAAACCTCACACACAAAATACAAAGGAGATCTTAGTTCTGCCTCGAATACATCCGGTCAGCTCCATGTGACTCCCTTCAAGTGCGCACTCCCAGTTAGAGAATGAGGTTATGTTCAGTCTTTTGCTCTAAGATCACGTTTTAAATTCTCACCCCTCTTTTCCTGGACCACTTCCTTCAGGCAGTTGTCAGGATTGCTGGCAGTCTGGGTGATGCTGTATGTGTTGATCTTTTAATTTTGTTGCTGAAGAATCCTGAGCTTCTGGAGACTGTTTGATAGATTCTGTATGGGCCATGAAAGCATCATTAGTTGGATATTTAGAAATGAACCTCCGTCGGCCTTCCCTGGTGGTCCAGTGGTTAAGAAGCGGCACTTCCAATGCAGGCGGCTCGGGTTCCATCCCTGGTTGGGGAACTAAGACTCCACATTCTGCCTGGCGCGGCCCCCTCCAAAAAAAAAAGTGAAAAAAATAGAAATGAACCTCAATGAGATATAGTTGGAGTCTTCCACCTAGAATAGTGGTAATAAGAAACATGAGGTGTGACATACTGCTGTTTAACAATGATTCTTTTCTTGCCCTCCTAGGAATGGGTGAATTTAAGGTCCATCGAGTACGTTTCTTTAATTATATTCCATCAGGGATCCGCTGTGTGGCTTACAATAACCAGACAAACAGATTGGCTGTTTCACGAACAGATGGCACTGTGGAAATTTATAATTTGTCAGCAAACTACTTTCAGGAGAAAGTAAGTCATTTGGGAGCCTGATTTGGTGTTTTTGATGTTAATTTTTTTCTTAAGTTCAATTCTGCCAAATCTATGTTTTTTGTATTCAAAGAGATCAAAAGAATAGTAACTCTCCCCGACTCTCTCCGGAGTTGTTTAGAACCACATAACAAATATGCGATCTCTTGTCTGAATGATGCGCTTAGAGTTTTGATCTGTGTGATGTTGGTTAGAAAGATCCTACCTAGGAATTGTCGTGCTCCCTGTCATTTGGAAACTGAGGTTTGCTAGATCTGTTGGGCACAATAAGAAGGGAAATTGTCAAGACCATTGCTTCATATCAGTCTCTGCACCATTGTAACTTTGGTAAAGTGTCATTTCCTGCTATAAGTGTCAGTACCCATTTCATTGCCAATTCAGAAAAAATGATGAGACATTTTAATATCAAACACTTGGGTGATGTAATATCAGGAACATGGATTCCTAAGTTCATCTGTCTGAGAGAAGGTAGATTTATATTTGGGAATAAAGATTTTAAATTAGGTAAAGTGCTGTTTGGGTGTATGCAAAGGGCTGTTACAGCAGCATATTTTTCAAAGGCGGTGATTACTGATTTCAAGTGCAACAAAATAATTCAGGTCACATTTACTGAGTGCCTTACATGCCATAGGCACCATGAAATAAATGAATAGAAGGAAAAATGAATGAATGCAGTGCCCAGCAACTTAGTACTTGGAATTTAGGCACTCTGTAAATGTTTCTAAATGACTGAGTGGCAAGTATTAGGCATTAAGATGAATGTCAGAGGCCCTACCTTCAAGGAGTTCAAAATCCAGTGGGGGAAAGATGAGTATACAGTTTCCAAACAGTGTGGCAAATTTTATGATAGACCTAAGCAGAGGCATAGAATCTTAGTGGAGAGGTGCCTTCTCTGATGAGGTGGGTTTAGGATTCCTGGAAAGAGATGACTTACTGAGCTGATCCCTGAAGCACTAATAGGAGTTAAGAAATTGCTGGTCACCACAAAGGAGTCACATTCCATAGAATGAAAAACATGCTGTGGTACATGCTTGTTGCATCCTGTGATTTTTCTTGTCATTTATGATAATTGGAATTATATAATAGTTCATATATATTTGTTTAATGTCTTCTTCCTTGCTGAACTTCAAATTTTATGAAAACAAGGACCTTGTCAGTGATATTCATGGCTGTATTCCCAACATTTAGCAAGTGCCTAGGACAAAGACACTGCTTAGTTAATACATGTTGAATGAATAAGTCAACTGGTCTTTACCTAGTACCTCTTATTTTCCTCTCCCATCTGTTTTCTTTTTTTTTTTGAACAATTAATTCAGTCTAGTCTTCCACTTTCTCCATGTTCCCTTCCCTGCTATTGAAGATTGCTTAGCTCTGAACAAGAGCTTGTTTCTCAGAACAAGAAAACATTATATCTCTGAGAGTGAAGAGTAGTGACTAGGAGTAAGGAGACCCACATTCTTTTCATGTCATTGACTTTGGCCCTTTGGGCAAGCCACTTAATTAATGAATATTTTGCCTTTTCAAGTTCAGATAGGAAAAATTATACCTCCTCATTCCCTTTTGTATCAAGCAGATATAAGAGTAAAATTCCTGGGCTTCCCTGGTGGCGCAGTGGTTGAGAGTCTGCCTGCCGATGCAGGGGACATGGGTTCGTGCACCCGTCTGGGAAGATCCCACATGCCGCGGAGCGGCTGGGCCCGTGAGCCATGGCTGCCGAGCCTGCGCGTCTGGAGCCTGTGCTCCGCAACGGGAGAGGCCACAGCAGTAAGAGGCCCGCGTACCGCAAAAAAAAAAAAAGAATAAAATTCCTTGATAGTATGAATGCTTTTTGAGTGCTAAGAAAACACTTAGACATCTGAGACTTGAATGAAAAGCTGGAGTGATCTGCCTTTGTTTATTTTAATTTTTTAAACAGCTTTTAATTGGTGAAATTGACACACAGTAAGCAACATGTATTCAAAGTGTATGTATTAGTAACTTTTGACATGTATACACCTTTGAAATTATCACTCAATCAAGGTGATTGCGATGATTTTTAAAAATTAGATACATCAGATACAAATTGGATTGTCTGAAACTTTATTGTCTAAAAAGGTTTTGCAGAACAAGTCCTAGTAAAAGAAACAAAACCAACTGTATAAGTAACTAAAATGTGAACCTGAAAAAAATGAAAATATCAGTAACCTGATCTTCAGATAGTGTAAAACCCCACACTATTTATTTCCAGAGAGGCATTTTGATTTTCACCTTTTTGCCTGTGACCACTCAATGCTAGTAGCTGATGAATTCGTGGTGGGTTGAAAAGTTATGGTGTTTCTGTAGTTTTTCCCAGGTCATGAGTCTCGGGCTACAGAAGCTCTGTGCTGGGCAAACGGACAGCGACTGTTTAGTGCTGGACTCAATGGAGAGATTATTGAGTATGATTTGCAGGCGTTAAACATCAAGTATGCTGTGGATGCCTTTGGAGGACCCATTTGGAGCATGGCTGCCAGCCCCAATGGCTCTCAACTTCTGGTCAGTAAGCAACTATTGGTAATTCAAACCAAGATTTCTCTTGTGCCCACTTAAACTTGCTTCCTTATGTTCATAGGAAGGTGAAATTGTATTATAGCATGTAGCAACTCCACTCTGAGCTGGATTCCAGCAACCAAGCAAGCAATTGTATCTGGATTCCAATACGAGATACAAGATTGGGGTTCTTGTTGGGGATTTAAAGCTCCCTTGTCCTTTGGCACTCTTTCTGCTGCTACTTTGGACCTCGTTGATTCATTTATGAAACCAGAGGTTTCAGTTGGGTTCAGCATTTCCCAAACTGTGTTCTTTGGAATTGGGAGATGTAGAAACTGTCTTTTGTTTTGTTGTGCCTTGTGTTTTATGATAAGTTTTGTTTCAGAAATACGGCGTACTAAATCCTTCTGTAGATTCACAGCACACGTTAGTATATCAAAACTTCTGATAGGTCCTTCTACAAGTCAACCTGTGGAACATGTTTTTCCAGTGTTTCTCAAAAAATTTTTGAGCACAGACTTAAGACTTCCCCCCTCGAGAGGGCAGACAGCAGAAGCAAGAGGAGCTACAACCTGCAGCCTGTGGAACAAAAACCACATTCACAGAAAGAGACAAGATGAAAAGGCAGAGGGCTATGTACCAGATGAAGGAACAAGATACAACCCGAGAAAAACAACTAAATGAAGTGGAGATAGGCAACCTTCCAGAAAAAGAATTCAGAATAATGATAGTGAAGATGATCCAGGACCTCGGAAAAAGAATGGAGGCAAAGATCGAGAAGATGCAAGAAATGTTTAACAAAGACCTAGAATTAAAGAACAAACAAACAGAGATGAACAATACAATAACTGAAATGAAAACTACACTAGAAGGAATCAATAGCAGAATAACTGAGGCAGAAGAACGGATAAGTGACCTGGAAGACACAATGGTGGAAT